TGAGTTTTACAGTGACTTGATTTGATTCTGAAATAATGCTTACAACATAGGAATACATAGTTAGTGGTACCCAGAGATATTTCTTCCACCAAACATCCAGAACATTAATGAGATCAACTCTAAAGCAGTACAGGCAACATAGTGGGCAAAAGCTAGTGTCATGGACTCTGGGAAAAGATAGCCAGAGTTCAAAACCCATGTGCTATAGACATTAACTGTTTTAGCAGAGTGTCTGTAGACACCACATGTCAAGGGGTTACAGTGAGGCTGGCATAATTAGAAAGAAAATGTTCCAATGTACATCAGCTGGCAAAAGTTAAAGTTACTTGTCAGATATATCAACTATTAAATTAATAATGCCTAGAGAAAAAAATAAATAAGGTATACTTCCCCAGTGGAGTTCCTCAGTTTGAAAAATATGCTCCCCAGTAAATTTAAATATGATCATTCTCATTATTAATCTAGTTCAAAATGATTTATTTCCTAATTTTTAAATAGTATTCCTAGACGCATTACAAACTTGCCATTTTGCAAAGACAATTGGGCTGGCTGTATCTAATTTTAATTGAATTTTTGACCTTTAAGGATTCAGTTTGGCCAAACTGATATGTGATTAGGAGTATTTTCAGTACACTTATTAGCCTGGGTTATTACTTTAAGATTGCAGAGTCATGTTGAATAAGGAGATTATATTCAGCATCTTGGCAAGTATATACAATGAGTATTTCTTAATTGCATACAGAAGCAATGGAAAGAGAATACATTTATGAAAGATTTTTAAAGACTGTTATCCTTGACTATATGTACACAGTTCAAAAAACCACCAGACTACTTGTCTTTTGATTGGAGTTTATGAGTTTATGTGACTAGGAGTTGATAAGGTGAAAAACAACAGCTGTGGGCTTTGTTCTTCCTTCAGAGCAAGTTATATTTGCTTGATAATAGAATTTGCTTATGTTTAGTCTAAACAAATAGTTGATGTCAATTGACTTTATCTTGTTTTACCTCTCCCAATCCCTGTCTCCCTCCAACATTTGCCACCTTGATTCTGGCTTCTCCAATGGATATCCAATGCACATCCTTACCTTTCTGCCTTTGCTGAAGCTGTTCCCTCTTCCTAGAACACCTTCTGCTTCCCAACTAAGGAAATTCCACTCTCTGCTCCGGGAACACAATGTTCTCTGTTACAGCATCTATTACATTTCCTGCCTTTCCAACTTTCTTGAGCCCTGCCGGGATGAAGGCTGTGACTCATTGATCTCTGTATTCCCAGCACCAAATTTGTTTGGCAAATAGAAAATAAAAAGTATTTATTAAATTAATTCTCCTTTTCACTTGTGCAGAGTGTTGTAGGGTTGGAACATTATAACATTTTTCCAAGCGCATGGCCATTTCTGACTACTATCTCAGGAACTAAAAGTGGCTTCCCATAAGAAGTGACTCTGGACAAAGAGACGGCAACACAAAGGTTAAACTCTTGAAGAAGCAGCATCATAAGGCAATGAAGGCAGTATTAGAGTCACATATAGTTAATAGTATGTGTTACTAATAACTATGTTATAGTGTTACCTGGTTTTGATTAGTTTTGCTTAAAATCTAGCCTACCCCAGATGGTACAGAACCTTGTCACTCTGGCTTTGCCTTTCTAATACTGTCTCTTCTCACACCATGGGAAATGTAGCAAATAATTCAGAGCCTGGTAACAATGTGGCCTGGAAGGATTTGAAAAAATAATTGACACAAAGTGTGCTGAAATGAAAAATAGACATTTAATAAATATATATAAAATAAAATTTAAAAATAAAGTTATACCCAAAAGGAAATTAGAACATTTCACTATAAAAAAATCAAAAACACAAATGGACACAATAATACAGGAAATGAGGAGCAAAAAACAGCTATGAGGCATGCAGAAAACAAATAGCAAAATAACAGAAGTAAGTCCGTCCTTATCAGTTAATTACTTTAATGTAAATAAATTAAACTCTTCAAGCAAAATACAGAGATTGGTAGAATAGATTTTAAAATATGATTCTAACTATATGCCAACTGCAAGAGACTCACTTTAGATCCAGATACACACATGGAAGTTGAAAATAAAGGGATGGAAAAAGATATTCCATGCATTTAGTAACTAAAAGAAAGCAGAGGTGGCTATATGAATGTCAGAAAAAGTACATTTTAAACCAAAATTGTTTGAGAAACAAAGAAAGGCATTATGTATTAATAAGAGGTTCAATACAGCAAGAAGATATAAGATTATAACATTTACATTTACACACCTAATAACAGACCATCAAGACATATAAAGCAAAAATGGGCAGAAATGGAGGGAGAAATAACAGTGGGTAACTTCAGTATCCCACTCTCAGCAATAGAACAACCAGACAGAAGATAAATAAGAAAATAGATGACTTGAGTAACACCATAAAGGAGGAATGAGATCTAACAGACATTTAGAATACTCTAACCCAACAACAGAATTCACATTCTTCTCAAGGGTGCATGGGACATTTTCCAGGATAGACCATATGATGGAGCACAAATTAAGTCTCAATAGCTTGGTAAAAAGATGTATATATCATATAAAGTATCTTCTCCAGCCACAATGGGATGAAGTTAGAAATTAATGATAGAAAGAAAACTGGAAAATTCAAAAATGTCTAGAAATGTCATGGCACACTCTTAAACAATCAATGGATTGAAAAATAAATCCAAAGGAGAATTAGAAAATATTTAAGACTTTAGGGCCAATATGGCAGACTAAAAACAGCTAGTGTGTGCATCTGTCATGAAGAGAAAGAAAGGGTGAGTAAATACGGCACCTTCAATTGAAATCTCCAGGTACACGCATTGAGACTAATCAAGGAAACAACTCAAAGCATAGAGAACAGAGAAAAGCAAGGCAGGATGATAGCACACCCAGGAGCAACACAGAGCCAGGGGAACCTCCCCTGCCTAGGGAAGCAGTGAATGAATGTGAGACCCTGGGAACCCATGCTTCTCCCACAGGTCTTTGCAACCCTTGGGTCAGGAGATTCTCCTCATGAACCTACCCCACCAGGACCTGCAGTCTGACACACAGAGCTATATGGAATCTGGGCAGAACAGCCACTCAGGCACAAATGGAGACCCGAGAGCCTTAGATAACCAGCCTTCCCAGCAAAAGTAGCTGCAACTCTGGCAAAGTGGCAGGTTAGACCCTGGCACATACCCCTAGGAAAGACAGAATCCAGGGGGCTAAGCAGTGACAGTCTCCAGGCCCTGCTTCCATGAACCCACAGGATAAGACCCATTAGATTGGAATTCTAGCCAGCCATGGGTAGTAGTGTTAGACATCCCTGAGGCAGAGTTCCAAGTGGAAAGGGGCAGGCCACCATTTTTGCTGTTTGGGTGAAAGAGCAAAGCTTGTTCCAGCCTTTGGGCTTTTTAAGAGTCTGAGCTGACCAGGGACAGAAGCAATCCCCATCCACATCACAGTTGCATCCTTAAAAACATAGCCAGACTGCTTTTTGAAGCAGGTTCCCAATCCTGTTCCTCCTCACTGGACAGGACCGCCCAACCAGGGTCTTCAGCCACCACCACAGGTGTTCTCTGGCTCACAGAGATTTGAAACCTCCGCTGGGCAGAACTCCCAGAGAGAGGGGTGGGTTGCCACTTTTGCTGTTGGGTGACTTAGCTACTCTGGCCTTTGAGCTTTGGAGAGGGGGCTGAAGTAGACCCCCAGCACAGCACAGCACAGCTGCTCTATGAAAAAGTGGCCACACTGCTTTTTTAAGTGGGTCCCTGATCCTGTTTCTCCCTACTGGGTGGGACCTTTCAACTGGGGTCTCCAGCCATCTCCTACAAATATGTCTGGGCCAGTAACAAGTCTGTACCTCCTTGGGACAAAGCTCCCAGAGAGAGGTGCAAGCAACCATCTTAGTTATTTCCCAGCCTTCACTGTTGATACCTCCAGGTAATGGAAAACCTGAGGTGACTAGGGACTGGAATGGGCCCACAGCATATCATAGCAACCCTACAGAAAAGTGGCCAGACTGTATCTCCTAATGGGCAGGGTGTCCAGCCCTGGGCCTCCATCCAACCTCCACCAGAGTGCTGAGCCAGTAGCAGCTCTGCAACTCCCTAGACAGAGCCCCCTCCACCACCCAAGGCAACTGAAAGCCTCTCTACCACTGCCTCTGCAGTGGAAGTACCCTTGCCACCCTCGGACTAATAAAGGAGCAGAGACCTTAAGTTCCTTATTCACACCTCCAACAAGCTGCAGTTGACCCAAGGAGAGAAGGCCAGTTTGTTTTCCATGGGCCCCACCTTCCAGCCCCCCACTTCTCATCACCAGTCAGGGAACCGCCAGTTTGGGCCCACAGCACAGACCCTCTAGCCTGAGCTGATGATACTGGATAATTACTGACTTGCATCTCTTTGGGTTGTCTCCCTCAGGAGACAAACAAAAGACCCTTGGCCACAGCTACAACTAAGGTCCCTTCCTCTTCTGCCTCAAAATTGGGTAAGAAACATAAACACTCAGATTGCCCCAGAGCTGCATGGGCAACTGGGAGTACCAAGCCATGATCTACAGCCAGCAATCAAGGGGAAGAGGAACTTACACTTTCAGAGTATTGAGGGATAACATGGTTGCAAGCATGAGAAAACATAAGGGAACCACACAACTGAGCAAAAGTCTATCAGCTAATCAATACACATAAGTGCTGCCTAATAGATCACACCTCAAAGCTTCAACATGAGAAATGCCTCACTAACATATCCCTCTCTGAAATCAAAGACAATAAAGACAATAAGAGATAAGAAAGACAATAAAGACCCTGCACAAAGCCTTGGCCCTGTGAAAACATCCAGAAAAGAAGTGTATTGACTATACTCTACACTGCAGCTAAAGAAACACCCACACTAAAAGATAAAGAACCCTCACAGGAACTACAGTAATTCAAGTGGCCAGAGTGACATATGTCCTCAAACAACCACATCAGTTCTCCAGAAAGGGTTCTTAATAAGGCTGAGCTGGCTGAAATTACAGAAATAGAATTCAGAATATGGATAGGAACAAAGGTCATGAGATTCAAAAGGATGGCAAAACCCAATCCAAGAACTAATAATCACAATAAAGTGATACAGGAGCTGAAGGATGAAATAGTCACTATAAAAAAGAACCTAATGGAGCTGACAGAACTTTGTAATCCAATATAAGAATTTCACAATGCAATCATGAGTATTAACAGCAGAATATTAATAAGCATTAACAGCAGAATAGACCAAGATGAATAAAGAATTTCAGAACTTGAAGACTGGCTCTCTGAAATAAGACAGACAAAAATAAAGAAAAAATTAAAAGGAATGAACAGAATCTCCTAGAAATATATGATTATGTTAAAAAGGCCAAATCTGTGAATTATTGATACCCCTGAAAGGGAGGGGAAGAAAGAAAACAACTTGGAAAACATATTTTAGGATATTGTCCATGAAAACTTTGCCAACCTTGCTAGAGAAGCCAGCAGTTTTAGGAAACACAGAAAACTGCAAGATTCTACACAAGAAGATCATCCCCAAGACACATCATCATCAAATTTTCCAAGGTTGAAATGAAAGAATGTCCAAAGCAACTAGAGAGAAAGAGCAGATCACCTACAAAGGGAACCTCAACAGGCTAACAGTGGACCTCTTAGCTGAAACCCTACGAGCCAGAAGAGAATAAGGGCCTATATTCAATATTCCTAAAGAAAAAATCTTCAGTCAATAATTTCACATCCAGCCAAATTAAGCTTCCTAAATGAAGGAGAAATAAGATCCTTTTCACATAAGCAAAAGTTTAGGGAGTTCATTACCACCAGAACTGTCTTACAAGAGATCTTGAAAGGAGCACTAAATATAGAAAGGAAAGACTGTTACCAGCTAATACAAAAACACACAAACACACAGACCAGTGTTACTGTAAAGCAGCCACACAAGGAAGCCAGCATAATAATCAGCTAACAACACAATGACAGGATCAAATCCACACATATCAATAACAACCTTGAATGTAAATGGGCTAAATGCCCCAACTTTTTTTTGAGACAGAGTCTCACTCTGACACCCAGGGTGGAGTGCAGTAGCATAATCTTGGTTCACTGCAGCCTCCATCACCTGAGTTCAAGCACTTCTCATGACTCAGCCTCCCAAGTAGCTGGGACTACAGGTGCACATCACCACACCTGGCTAATTTTTGTATTTTTAATAGAAATGAGGTTTCACCATGCTGGCCAGATTGTCTCAAACTCTTGCCTCCGCCTCCCAAAGTACTAGGATTATAGGAATGAGATACCATGCCCAGCCTAAATGCCCCAGTTCAAAACCACAGAGCAGCAAGCTGGAAAAAAATGTAAAACCCAATGATTTACTGTCTTCAAGAGACCTATCTCACATGTAATGGCACCCAGAGGCTCAAAGTAATGGGATGGGGGAAAATTTATCAAGCAAATGAAAAACAGAATAAAGCATCTGTTGAAATCCTAATTTCAGACAAAGCAGACTTCAAGCAAATGAAGATCAAAAAAGACAAAAAAGGGCATTACTTAATGGCAAAGGGTTCAATTCAACAAGAGGACCTAACCATCTTAAATATATGTGCATCCAACATGGGCACACCCAGATTTATAAAGCAAGTTCTTAGAGACCTACAAAGAGACTTAGACTCCCACACAATAATAGTGGGAGACTTCAACACTCCATTGACAATATCAGAGAGATCATCAAGGCAGAAAATTAACAAAGATATTCAGGACCTCAGTTCAACATTGGACCAAATAAATCTGATAGACCTCTACAGAACTCTCACCCAGAAAAAAAAAAACAAAAACAGAATATATATTTATCTCCTCACCACATGGAACACACTCAAAACAACCAAGTAATTGGACATAAAACAATCCTCAGCAAATGCAAAACAAATCGTGCTGAACACACTTTCAGACCACACAGCACAATAAAAATAAAAGTAGAGAGTAAAAAACTTGCTCAAACCATGCAACTACAGGGAAATTAAACAACATGCTCCTGAGTGACTTTTGGGTAAATAATGAAATGAAAGCAGAAATTAAGATTTTCTTTGAAACTGATAAGAAAAAAGATACAATATATCAGAATCTCTGGGACACAGCTAAAACAGTGTTAAGAGAAATTCATAGCACTAAATACACGTCAAAAAGTTAGAAAGATCTCAAATTAACAACCTAACATCATGACCAATATTAGGAAGAGCTAGCAGAACACAAGAAATAACCATAATAAAATCCAAACTGAAGAAAATGGAATCCAAACTGAAGAATCCAGCAGCTTTGTTTTGTTTTTTTTTTTTTTTTTTTTTTTTTTTTTGGAAAAAAAGAAAGATAGATAGATAGGCCACTTGCTAGAATAATAAAGAAGATTTTTAAACACAATGAGAAATAGTGAAGAAAATGTTACCACTGATCCCACAGAAATTTAAACAATCATCAAAAAGTACTGTGAACACCTCTATGCACACAAACTATAAAACCTAGAAGAGATAGATAAATTTTTGGACACATACACCCTCTCAAAACTGAACCAGGGAGAAACTGATTCCCTAAAGAGACCAATGACAGATTTAAAACCAAATCAGTAACAAGTAGTTTACCAACAAGACAAAACAAAACAAAACAAAAGCCCAGGACCTGATGGATTCACAGCTGAAATCTACCAGATGTTCAAAGAAGAGCTGCTACCATTCCTACTGTAACTATTCCAAAAAATTAAGGAGGAAGGACTCCTCTCTAACTCATTCTATGAGGCCAGCATCTTCCTGATACCAAAACCTGGCAAAGAAACACAAAGAAAACTTCAGCCCAATATCTTTGATGAACATTGATGCAAAATCCTCAATAAAATGCTGGCAAACTTAATCCAGCAGCACATCAAAAAGCAAATCCACAATGATCAAGTAGACTTTATGCCCAAGATGCAAGGTTGGCTCAACATACACAAATCAATAAATGTGATTCATCACACAAATAGAACTAAAGGCTAAAACCACATGATTATCTCAATAGATGCAAAAAAAGGCCTTCAATAAAATTCAATACCCCTTCATGTTGAAAACTCTCAATAAACTAGGTATTAAAGGAACATACCTCAAAATAATAAAAGCCATCTATAATAAGACCACGGCTAACATCATACTGAATGGGCAAAAGCTGGAAGCATTCCCCTTGAAAACTGGCAGAAGAAATAATGTCCTCTCTCACCACTCCTATTCAACGTAGTATTAGAAGTTCCAGGCCAAAGCAATCAGGCAAGAGAAAAAAAATAAAGGGCATACAAATATGAAAAGAAGAAGTCAAATTATCGCTATGTAAAGACAATGTCATCTTATATCTAGAAAACCCCATAGTCTTGGCTCAAAGGCTCTTTCTGCTGATAAACAACTTCAACAAAGTTTCAAGATACAAAATCAATCTACAAAAATTACTAGCATTTTTATACACCAAAAACAGCCAAGCCAACAGCCAAATCAGGAGGACAATCCCATTTACAATTGCCACAGAAAGAATAAAATACCTAGGGATATGGCTAACCAGGGAGGTGAAAGATTTATACAATGAGATTTATAAAACACTACAAACAAAAGGAAAAACATCCCATGCTCATAGATAGGAAGGACAAATATCATTAAAATGGCCATACTGTCCAAAGCAATTTACAGATTCAATACTATTCCTATCAAACTACCAATGTCATTCTTCACAGATCTAGAAAAAAAAATATGTAAAAATTAACATGGTAGAAAAAAAAAAGCCAAAATAGACAAAGGAATCCTAAGCAAAAAGAACACAGCTGGAGGCACCATGTTATATTTCTTCAAACTTTACTATAGGGCTACAATAATCCAAACAGCATGGCACTGGCACAAAAATAGGCACATAGACCAATAGAACAGAAATAAGGCTATACATCTATGACCATTTGCTTCAACAAAGTTGACAAAAACAAGCAAGGGGAAAAGACTCCCTATTACATAGATAATGCTGGAATAACTGACTAGCCATATGCAGAAGACTAAAGCTGAACCCCTTCCTTACACATACACAAAACTCAGCTCAAGATGAATTAAAGAATTATATGTAAAACCTAAAACTATAAAAAAAAAAAATCTGGAAGACAACTAGGCAATACCATCCTGGACATAGGAACAGGCAAATATTTTATTACAAAGACACCAAAAGATATTGCAACAAAATCAAAAATTGACAAATGAGATGTAATTAAAGAACTTCCGGACACCTCCTTCCTGCCAACTTGTAAGAAAGGTGCCTTGCTTCCTCTTTGCCTCATGCCACGATTGTAAGTTTTGGTGAATTGTGAAAGAGCTATGTAATCATGCCATCATTCTGATGAAGCCCAATCCAAGAGCCTTATGGACTAATGGTGATTCAAAGCAGGGCTAACTCAGGCAGTGTACCCAGAGTCAGCTATTAATCACTCCAGCCATGGTGTGACAGAGTGAGAAGACCTCATTCAAAAAACAAAAAATCTAAAATAACAGCAACTTCAGTGTGCAGGAAGGAACATAAGAAAATTAAAAAAAAAAAAAAAAAGACGTGTCAGAAGGATGTGGCCTGAGATGCTCCATTGTCATTGCTGGCCCTGAAGGTGGAAAGGCCATGAGCCAGGGCAGGCAGATGGTGTCTAACAGCCAGAAAAGGGAAAGAAAAGAATTCTCTACTAAAGCCTCCAGAAGGGACACATCCTACCAACACCTTATCTGTGAGACACCTTTGGACTTTTGATCTCTAGAACTCTATTGAAGCTTAGGAGAAGATGGTAGCTAGGAAGAAGGACTAGCTTGCAGCTCCAGCTCAGACAAACAAAGCAGTATGTGGAGACTCACATCATAAACTTTTGCTCCAGAACTACTACAGAAATATATCAGAAAAGCCTAGAGAATCCACAGACCCTCTGAAGGAAGTGGATTGCTCCTGCAGGACTTGGGCGATAGCCCAAATACTGTGCTGTTACCCAAAGCTGAGAGACCTGAAGATGAGTCATATCACAGGAGTCTGTACAGACAACCCCCAGTATCAGCCCAGAGCCTGGTAGCCCTGCTAGGTGGCTAGATCCAGAAGAGAAATAACAATCACTACAGTTTGGCTTTTAGAAAGCCACAGGTTATGAAAAGGGGGAGAGTACTATATCAAGGGAACACCCTTATGGAACAAAAGAGGAAATTTGCAAATTT